CTCCCATTCATCTTGGAGCTCCTTCCTAGCTGCAGCGGTGGGTCCTCTGCTGTTGGGTAAGCCTCTGTGCGGCTCTCCGTCTGCCCGAGTGCCAGCTTACGATTCGTGGGCTCAATGTTCGACTCCTGTTCCTGAGAATTTGGTTGTAGGTACACTCCTCTAACTGCCTATTGGTTAGTGGTCTCGCACTGCAGCTTAGTAACATTAGAGATCTCAAAATCCCATGTTGTGCTGCATTTTCTTTCTGCGAGATAATGTGATGAAAACTTGTGATGGTCATGTGTTGGAGTTGGTGGTGTGCGATGGAGTGTGTAGTTGGTCAATGAGGTAGAGATAGGAAAGTCAGACTTCCTGTTGGATGGTGCTTGCGTTGTGCCGGCGATTCTTGGTTTTACATTCCTGTTTGTGTTTGTCATTTTTGTGTTGATGGTTTTGTAATGCAGTGTAATTGGGGTGGATGTGAAATGTGTGGTCTGGGTATTTTTGAATCATGGTACTGATAGTGTGAGATGTGTGTGTTTAATTTCAAGTTTGAGCTTATGGGTTTTATTTATTTTCGTGGTTTGTGATTTGGAGTGGATTGTATAATATGATAGAATCGTGGTGGTTCGTAGTAGATCATTTCGGTGGATGCTGGTATGATCGTATTGTTTTGTGTGCTTTCGATGGTGGATGTGTTTCATGATATATGTGTTGTTGTGTGGATTTCGTTTTTTGTGTATGGTCTTGATGTTGGTTGTAGGTTCAGTTGGAATGGAATAGTCTGATTCATTGGAGTGTGAAATAAACTGTTCGAAAAATGTTTCGATTACAACAATTTTTGTGGATGGTTTTATTGTTCTTTCAGTTCATTTATTGAGATTGGTATGGGTGTAAGGGGTCCGTTAGGGTGTGGTTTGCAACTTTTAATTGGTGATATCTGTGTTTCCTCATAGCCGCATGAAATTTTGTGGTGTGTTTTGGTAGGGATTTTATTATAAGAAATTGTGGATGTTTGAGATTGAGTAGAAATATGACATTTATAAATCGGTAGTAGGATGGGTTGAATGTGTGTTTGAGTATTGGAGAATTTATTATGGTTTATTCTATAATGTTAATGGTGTTCTGTACTCTGCGTGCACTGGTTGAATTAGATGGGTAGTAGGTGATGTTTGTTGTTATGGTTTTATAAAAAGCTGGACGTGAGATTCTGGAATGTTGTGATAAGAATTGAGAGTGTGATGGGATGGTTCAAATATTTGAAGTTTGTATAAGGTACAAAATGTTGTGTGGATTGGTATTTACATAAGGTGGTGTGGATTGGATGTAGATTGTAGATGGACACCTCCTCCTGCCCTGGCTGCTCACACAGGGCTGGGTCTGCCGCCTCCTGGGGGCCGCGTGGCCAGAGCCCCAGCCCGTGCCGCTCCCAACCACACCCGGCACTTGGCCCCGGGGCGCAGCTCTGCTCCTCTCTCGCTGTGGTCACCCCAGACCATCCACGCCGTGCGCCTCCATCCACCCACTCGCCCGAGGACGTCAGAGCCGCAGTCCCCTGGGCTGGTCCGAGCTCCCCTCCTCCCGTGGGAGGGCCGAGACCCGAGGGGCGTAGGTGACAAGTGACAGAGCATTCACTTTCAGGTGAATGAGAACCGGCCTTGCAGAGCACAGCCCGGGGAGCACCTCACGGCCACGGCTTGTCCGTGGACGTTCTCTGGGGCTCGGGAGGCAGCTCCCAAGCAAGAAGTCACAAGCATGCTTGGCCTGTGGCCTTGCTGCAGAAAACCCACGCCTCTTTGGGACGCGGCGAGGGCCTGCCAAGAAGGCTCGCCCCTGCGTCTCCCCGCACCGCCTCTCACCAGGCCAGTGACCTGCTTCCGCCCAGGGCACGCCCTGACCCGGCGCGGGGGAGGCGGGCCATTGGCAGCGGTCAGGAGAGAGCCACCAGAGAGCCACCCACGGGCTGTCAGCACCGGGTTCCCCGGAGGCCGGCACCCTGGCGACTGTCCCCTTGCTCCTGCCGGTTTGTGTACATCTTCTGGGTTTCCTAAAGAGGCCGGGCATCGTTTTACGTGGGGGCCACGGTCCCTGGCACCCAGAGGCCAGCTCTGTGAGGAGCAGGGACGGCCAAGATGCAGGAGGGAGCCACGGAGGCTCAGCTGGGCCTCGGAGCCCAGGTGGGCTGGGGCCCGACAGGAAGACCCCGTGGGAAGGCGGGAAATGGGGGCTGCACCCCACCAGCACCCCCTCTGTCACACACTCGCTCCCCATCACTGGTCCACTTACGAGTCCCTCCATGCATGCGTCCCCACGCCTGTCTGTCTCAGCACCTGCACAGTCAAGCACCCGTCATCCATCCAGCCCCCTGTCCCTTGTCCCTCCTTCCACCTGTCCTTGCACACCCTCACCTGCAGTGGGGCACTTCTCCGCCTTACCCAGCCAGCCTCTGTGCCTCTCCCACCCAGGGGCGGGCCACCAACACTGCCCTTTCCCCCTATACAGACAAGGACACGTGCCCCGGGCTGGGCCAGTCCGGGCCTTCCCTGCACCCTGGGATCACTGGCTGTCAGCCACAACCGCTGGTGGCCGCCTTCAAGGAGACCCTGCTGCGGAGCGAACCCCCGCAGGAGAGCGCGGTGCCGAGGGCGGAGGTACGGAGCGTCCCAGACACGGACCACGTGCCCCAGAGCCAACACCTCCCCCACTCAGTCTCTGAGTGTCGGAGCCAACACCCCCCCCCCGCTGCATGAGTCAGCAACCCCCCCTTTCCCTACAGTGACTTGGCACTGGGGTTGTGCCACTTGCAGACGGAAAAGGGCGTGGGTAACACAAGCCCTTCTTCCAATGCAGCACAAAGTGATTTAGAACCTTCTAGAAGCTTAGCCCCTAGCCAGGGGAGGACACAGGAAAAGCAAGCCCTGACCTTGCGCCTGCCAGAGGCCGACCCCCAGTTGGAGGGGCAGTTCTAAAACACCCACGAGACGGGCAGCCCAGACACTCAACGCCAGTGTGGGGGTAAGAGAGGCCAGGCGAGACCCCACTCACCAAGCCTCAGTTTCCCTATCTGTAAAATGAAGATAGCACCGCCTAGTGCGGGGCGGCTGTGAGGATCAGTGATGGAGCAGGTACTCCGGGATGCTGTCACGTGAGAAGGTGATGCTTGGAGCCGTGGCAGCTCCCTTGCAACCATGAGGAAAGGACCGAGAGACCCACACTTGGCTTCGCTCTGATTTCAGGGAAAGGTCGCCTGCTGCGTGCCTGGGGCCGCGGCCTGTGCTTTACGCTCCCGCCGGATGTCGCTTTCGGGGAGTGGGCTCAGGGAGCAGTTAAGAGCACGGGTTCTGAACACGGGCGGCCCGGGTTCCAGCCCCAGCGGCGATGCTTGCTGACTGCACCTCTCCGCACCTCGGTTTCCTTCTCTGTAAAACGGGAACCCTATTTATGAGCATTCAATAATCCGGGACACAGGAAAACACCCAGCACGGAGCTGGGCACGTGGGAAGGCCCAGCAGACGTTTGCTGTCACCGAGCATGTGCGGCCGAGAGGGGAGGGGGGAGCGAGGGGGGGGATGATGGGGGGGCCGCGGGAGCCGAGCAGCAGCCCTGCGCCGGCTCCCGGCCCTGGCTCCGGGCGGGCCTTGCTGACTGGCTGTGAGCGCCCTGCCAAGGCCGGGGCAGCTGGCTCCAGCCTGCCGCTGACTGCAGGAGAGCCATCCCACGACGCAGCCGCCTGCCCGAGGGCCGGGCCCCCTGCCGACGCCGGGGCGAGCTGGGGCCCGCAAGGTGGGGGTCCTCGTGGCCTGGGAGGGGGACCTCAGTGGTCCCGAGATGCCCCCGGCGGCCCTCGCTCCCGGCCCCCGAGGCCCACATGTCTCCTCTCCGCGCCCCCCCCGCCGGCCGGCCTGGGGCAGCGGTTCCGCTTGGCAGCCTCGCAACAGTGAGTCAGAAACAGTTGCTGGGCTTGTCGCAAGCTCAGAGCAGGCTGCGGGCCGGGGATGGCTTAACTCTTTCGGGGGTGAGCTCCTCCTCCTCCTCCAGCGGAGGCTCCTCCACGGAGCTTCGCAGTGGGGTAAACTGAGGCAGCCGGCTCCCGTCTGTCTGCACAATTTCCTTTTCTTTTTTTTTTTTTTGGACAGAGTCTCACTTTGTCGCCCAGGCTAGAGCGAGTGCCATGGCGTCAGCCTAGCTCACAGCAACCTCACACTCCTGGGCTCAAGTGATCCTCCTGCCTCAGCCTCCCGGGTAGCTGGGACTACAGGCATGCGCCACCATGCCCGGCTAATTTTTCTATATTTTTTCTATATATTTTTAGTTGGCCAATTAATTTCTTTCTATTTATAGTAGAGACGGGGTCTCGCTCTTGCTCAGGCTGGTTTTGAACTCCTGACCTCGAGCAATCCTCCCGCCTCGCCTCCCAGAGTGCTAGGATGACAGGCGTGAGCCACCGCGCCCGGCCACGCACAGTCTCCTTTTCTGAGAAGACCCCCTTCTGCCAACTGGTCTTCCTGGCTGAGGGATCTGTCACCATTGCCTGCCCCGTTCCTCCTCCTGGGTCTTCCTCTCCCCACGCCTGGCCTGACGTTCTCTCTGGGTCGACTGGCCTGTTTGATGTTTGATGCCCCCGACCCAAGCGGGAGCCCCGAGCGTGCGTCCCGTGGTGTTCAGCGCCGCGTCTCCAGTGCCAGCATGAGGCCAGCGTTGAGGAAATGCTGGACGAATGAATCAGCCGACCAAGCGGCCGAGCCACCCACCCCCACGTCCCAGGGCTCCCCGCACAGAACCAGCACCCGGAAGTGGCTCTCCCCTCCCACGGCCTCTCTGCTGGGCCTCCTCCTCCCGCCCGACTCTCCAGGTTTCCCCCCAGGGGCCCACCCACCGCCCGCCCCAGCCCCCACTGCAAGAGCCTCCCCCATCCCGCCCGAGACCCTCTCCACCGCTCGGGCTTCCCCGGGCTCGCCACACTCCTCCTGCCTCCCGGGTGCCCCCGCCACCTGGTCGCCCTCTCCCCTCACCCGCCTGGCGGACTCCTGTACATCCCTCAAGAGCCCGTCCGGGTGCGGCCTCCCTTGCGAGGCAGGGCCGCTCGCGGCCCCTTCCGGCCCCTCGTCCTCTGGACGCAGGCACCGTGAGACCCACAAGGAGACGCTCGCAGGCGGCGGCCATCGCTGAGCACGATGCCTGCATACAGCAGGCGCTCACTAAACCCTCACGACTGGGTGACCATCCACCTCCTCGGTGCCTGCGCGGAGTGCAGCCCCCCAGCCCAGACTGCAGCTCGCTGTGTGTGGGGGGGGGGCTGCTTCGTTCACTGCTGTGTCCTCAGTGCAGAGCCCAACGCCCGCTGGACGGACGGACGGAGCCCCGGATGGACGGACGGATCAGCGGACGCAGGCACAGGAAGAGAGATGAGGAAAGGTGAATGCATGGATGAACGGAAGGACAGAATGGGGAAGGATGGGAGACAGATCCATGATGGACAGACAGATGGAAGGTGGGTGGAAGGATGGACGGACGGAAGGAAAGACAGACTCATGGAAGGGTGGGAGGACAGGGGCACCAGGTGGGGGGTGACCACTGCCTGAGTCATTTATTCATTCACAGATAAGCTCAGTTTTCCGGCCAGATGAAGAACCCTGCGCGGGAGTCTCCCCACCCTCCCCGACAAGCTCTGCCCCTGCTCCGAGTGGGCAGAGGGGAGGGGTGTACCCGCTTGCCCCCCCACACACACCCATGCAAGCACACACACGTGCACATGTGCACACGTGCACACACACATACACACATGCACACATATACACACGCACATGTGCACACATGCACACACGCATGTGCACACATACACATGCACACACGTGTGTGTACATATACGTGTGTGCACATGTGCACACGCACACACACACATGTGCACACACACGCTCAGGGCATCGAGGGCGGCTGGGAGCTCAGGCCGTCTCCCAGCAGGGGACAACCACCGCGCCCACACGCATGCCGGCCCTGGGCCACGCCCCTGTGGGGACTGTGTGCTGTCTCGCTCCGCAACGGCACCAGGCAGCAGGCTGCCAGCTCCACTCCTTCAAGGAGAAACTGAGGCCCAAGGAGGTTGCGTGCTTGCTGGCAGACTCGCGGCTGCAGGCGGCTAAGCCGGGCCCCCGTCGGAGCCGTGTGGCTGCAGGGTCCGCACCGTTGGCAGCCGACGGTCAGGGCCCACTGCCACGGCCCGGCACACCCTCCCCGCGTGTCCTTCGTAACCTTCCCTGCAACGACTCGCTCTCTACGCTTAAATAGGTCTAAAACACACGCGACTGCCATAAAGGGAGGTCAGCATCGGACAACAGAAGTAGATGGCGACCCTGAAAACGCACCCGCCAGCCCAGCACGCCCGGCCGTCCTGCCAGACGCTTCCGGACGGACGGCTCTGTCCCTGCTGACAAGCGCGCAGTGGGGCTGGCGTGCAAGCGCGTCGGTGGCGGGTCCCTGGCGGGTCCCCTGGAAGAGGCGGCGCCCCCGAGTACAACCCGCTTCTCACGGAGAGAGCATGCCGGCGGGGGTGACAGGGAGTGGCTTCTGAGTCCAGGCCATGGGAGGCACGGCAGCTGTCCCCTTCTCCTCTCTGGGGGAGCCAGCTGCCGTGACAGAAGGACACTCGAGCCGCGCTCAGGAGAGGCCCGCGTGGCAGGGAACCCAGGCCTCCCACCAGGCTGCCCGGGCAGCGCGTCCTCCAGCCCCGGGCCCCTCCCGCGAGACTGCAGCCCCGTTGGGGCCTGGAGCACCCCAGAAGCTGCTCCCCAATTCCTGCCCCGAGGACCCCGTGAGACGCTAAGGCGTGTTGTGTTATGCTGCCGTGCTTGGGGGCACTTTGTCACGCGGCAGCAGGTGGCTGGTGCCGAGAGGCGGTGCCGACAGTCATTCCCAGACCCCGCTGTGACGCAGCCAGGATGGCCACAGACGACCGAAAGGAGAATAGACATTTCCCGCCTTCTCCGAGACCACACGTCCATGCCTGTCCCTGTGTCCTGCTCTGCGCCCTGCGGCCTCCCCCAGTGGGTCCCCGTCCCATGGAGTGTGACCTCAGCGCCCCACTCCCTCCAGCCAAACTCTCGGGGAAGATCCCCTGCTCTTCCCCTGGTGCCTGGCGCCGGCTCCCTGCTCCCTGGGGGAAGCCCTGCTCTCCTTCCCGCCCGGGGCCTCGGCACGTCCTGTTCCCCTTGTGTCTGCCAGGACACTCCTCGCCCCGCCTGCCCTGCCCTCGGCATCCATCCACCCATCCGTCATCCCAGAGCCTCCGCTCCGCCCTCCGGCCCTCCCCGCCACGCCACGGCGTGTGCGCGCGTGGCTCTGAGCTCCGTGGTACCACGTGGAGTCTTTACCACTCATTTCTGAGTCGCAAGGCTCACCTCCCCACCAGGTGAGCTCGCAGGGGCAGGGGCGGGGCAGGGCAGGTCTGCCTTGCTCACGGCCACACCTCTGTCAGGCACAACAAGCCCCTGTGCGAGGAATGAAGGGAGGAGTCCGGAGGTTGCCAAGCCCTAAGCCCGGACTGGAACAGACCATGCTAATTTGTAGAGCCTCGAGCTAAACCCAAATATAAAAGAGTTTCTCTGCTGCCAGCCAGACCGAGAATTTGTTTTAATGAGTTTGGCTCCAAGAGCCCCTCCTCTGTGCTCCCCACCCTCCTCCCCCGGCATCTCCCTGCCCTCCTCCACGCTCACCCTCGCCCTGGGGGACAGATTCTTCTAGCGAGGTTCTTTGCTCCTTTGTTCTCTCCAACCAGCGGCCTGGGACGTGGCCCCTCAGGTGGGAGGTGGCTAGGGCTCCCTTCTCCGAGGGCCTCCGAGCTCTGCCACCACCCACCGGCAGGCAGACCTGTCTCTGCCCCAGGACGCCTTGAAGCCGTGCTGAAGGGTGGGGGAGCCGCCGCAGCCCCCTGAGTTCAAGGCTCCTCTTCTGCAAGCACTAGGAGGCGGGAAAAGGCTTCCCCTTTCTCTGCAACACCTTTCAATAAAAGGACTTGCTCTGCCGAATTTGGACTCTGTCAAAAGGCCACATTTAGGACCTAGAAGGCCACACTTTGCCTTAAGGCTGCAGGGTCCCCACTCCCGTGGGGCCATGAGAAAGTTCTGGAAATAGAGGCGACGGCCGCACACCCCTGGGAGTGTACTAGATGCCCCCAAACTGTGCACTTTGAAACGGTCACGGCGGCATTTTACCTCCCGCGTGCTCTCCTGCAACTAACAAAGGGCAGAAAAAAACGGTGCTGGTCTCACGCGGCATCACCGAAGTTAGGAATCTGAAGGATTTATAACGACCGCAGGCGTGAAGACCTTTTTCCTACCTCTTGCTAAGGCCGGGGTGAGCGGGCGTGACGGCTCCCCGTCTGCCCGGTGGGTTAGAACAGGGCCCCAAAGACAAACAGGACATCGGCCACGCTGAGGCCGCCTGCAGAACGGCGGTTCGGAAAACTTCTCCGGCCTGCTTTCAGGACACACAGGGGACAGGGTTTCGGATCTTACGGCGCTCTTCTGCACCCCAAACTGAAATAATGAGAGGGTCGAGAAGAAAGGCCACCGCTGTATGAATGAAGCTCTGCGGTGAGGAAACGCAGCCGGGCACCAGGGAGCCAGGAAGCAAACAAACAGGAGCGGCAGGGCTCCGGGAGCGAGTCTGGGGTGAGGAGCCTCTCCCCGGGCTGTGAGCCGGAGACGCACCTTTAACTGGGCCCCGTTTCCCGTTTCCTGGACTCGGTTTGTGTTTATAAAGGCGCTAAAATTCGTGACAGTTCCCAAACTGATTCAACAAAGAGAAGTCGGTGCAGGGCTGCCAGGGGAGGGGACCGGCCACGGTGAAAGACAGACATAAACCTCCTGGCGCTGTGTCAGCCATATCTGAAGCTGCCGGTGGCCTGGTCCGGACCCTCGGGGACATCCTGGAGAACGCCTGGCTTGAAGGGACGGGGGCCGTGGAGACAACTGCCCCAGCTGAACGTGGGCCCGGGGGTCGCCGCCTCCAGCCCGTCCTGCTCCGGCCCCAACCCCGGCCTGGGCTCTGCTGGCTGGCGTTCTGGACATTTCTGTCCCTGAGGTCCGGGTGGGCCTGGCTTGGGGCAGGGCTGGTGCAGGAGGCGGCCGGGCCTCCACCCGGAAGCGCCTGAGGTCGTTTCCCCCAGGGAGCGAGGAGGGTGGCAGGGGCCAGGGTCGGTGCCCCGGCAGCACGCCCGTCCCGGAGGAAGCAGACGTGAGGCCAGTGTCCTGCCCGCTCCCTGGGCCCGCGGGGCCCGCCCCCCAGCAGGCCTGAGGCTGACATGGGCAGGCCGGCGAGGGCCTCTCCCGCCCTCCCGGAGGCCAGCCCGGCCGGTCACGGGGGACCCTGTGGGACAGGGGCCGGGAGGGGCGGCTGAGTCAGCTCCCCTCAGATCAGCCAGAGGGCTGGCCTGGCCGCCCAGAGGCCGAAAAACGCCCGGGCTCCAAACGGGCCTGCCGTGGGGTCTGGCCGCAGCCCAGCCAGGCGCGGGCACACCACCAGGCCCCGAGCAGAGCCGGAGTGGCTGGGGGCCGCGCCCCACCCGCCAGGAGAGTGTCGCTCTCCACCTGGGGCTATTCAAAGAGCCGGCTGCTATTTTCAAGCCCCGTCCAGTTTAGGAGGCCGGGGCGGTGCAGGGAGCTGTGCCGGCCAGTCAGGGCGCAGGCCACGGGCTGCCGGCCGGGGTCAGGCTGGCTGGGTGGTCCCTGGGCCAGGGAGCTGCTGCCAGGGGAACAGGGGACCCGCTCACCCCTCTGGGGACACGAGGAAGTGGCACACCTTCTTCATAAGCGGAGTGTATGTGCGCATGTATGTGTGTGTATATGTGGGCTGCGCATGATATGTGTGTATGTGTGTGCAGTGGATGTATGCATGAGGCGTGTGTGTATGTACATGGTATATGTGGGGGGTGCATCTGCCTGTGTATATATGTGCATAGCGTGGGTATGCACGTGGTGCATATATGTGGGTGTGCGTATGCATGTGCTGTGTCTGCATGGATATGTGCACGTGTGTATGTGGTGTGTATATGTACATGGCGTGTGTATGTATGAGGCGTGTATATGTACGTGGCATGCATATGTATGAGGCGTGTATATGTACATGCCGTGTGTATGTATGAGGAGTGTATACGTACGTGGCGTGTGTATGAGGCGTGTATATGTATGTGGCATGTGTATGTATGAGGCGTGTATGTGTACATGGTGTGTGTATGCATGAGGCATGTATATGTAGGCGGCATGTGTATATATGAGGCGTGTATGTGTACATGGCATGTTTATGTATGAGGCGTGTATATGTACATGGCGTGTGTACAGACGGGCTGTATGCATGTGGCGTGGGGGCAGTGTGAACCATGCCGGCGGCCCGGCCACTGACCCGGGGCGGAGCAGCCTACAGCAGGGCCCCGGCACAGCCCGGGCCCCGCCCCCAGCACAGGAGGAGGGACAGCTGCAGAGGCCGCCTGCGACCAGGAGGCCGCCCTGGCCCCTCTGGGCGGGGGCCGAGCCGCCTGACCCCGAGGCCTGGTCGCGTCCGGGATTTTACGGTTGGGGGCCTGTTTTTCCCAGCCACGGGGGCGCAGCGACAGGCGGCCGAGGACACCGAGTGGCCACAAAGGCCCGGCTGTTCTCCGGTGTGCCTTGCTGGGCGGCGGTGGGGGTGGCGAGGGGGAGCCGCAGGGGCGGGGGACGGTGTGGGGCAGTTTCCTGGGAGGGACGGGGAGGGAGTGGGGGAGAGACACA